AAAAAAAAAAAAAAAAAAAAAAAAATGTCTCGGCAGTGAGAAAAAGTCGCTCGGCTGTCAAGGAATGATGGATAGTAAGAGAGCTTGAGAGGAGAACGCGACTTAGGTCCCAGGAGGAAAATTGATTTGGAGAAATTTTGGAAAAAAAAGATCTCATCTGCAGCGAAAAAAAAAATTTTCTAACTTTATCAATAAATTTTGATAATTTATATAAATTATCTAATACATTGTACCGAGGTGTCATTTTTCTTTTTTTCCATCCAGCATCCATTATCGCCGTTATCTCCTTTGCAGTTAATACTCTTTATTCGTTAATGGAATAGTGCATTATCTACGATCCTAATAATGTCCCTACTTGCGTTACGGTCTTAGTTTTGCCCCACAAAGAGGAAAAGTGGATCGACATAAAAGTTCACGGCGCTGCCATGTGATACGCGAAGTAACGAGTGTCTAACTAGAGTGTAGCTCAAACAGGCCGAACAATATTGCAGACATCGGAGTGCAGGAGGACATAAAAGTGTTAGGAGATAAAAAACAATCGAATCGACTGTTCGAGTCTAATATACTGTAAAAAAAGTCTTACAAAGACCCGTCCGTGTATATACCATTCGTAATAATTACTACTTTGCGATTACGTTTATATTCATTCTTTGCTTACTAACGTCCAGCATTCTTCAGGCTGGACCTGCACTAACCTCTTCTTGTATTCCGTTGTAGGACAAACGTATTGTAGGACAATATACTTTTCTTTTGTTATTTCTAAGACAAAGTCTCACTTTCATTTGTCCCACCTGATATCTTTCCTAAATTCTTAAAAAGTCGATTCTGGCTCGAACCCGCCTTTTTGGCACGATCCGGAGAACCGTATTAATGGGAATATGGTTACAACATACATGCCGCAATAGATTTTTCTCCCTAGGCTCTAAATCCTCTCGGACGAAGCTACAGATTTTCTATCATGAAAAAACCAAGCTGGGTGAAAAGTTACTAGCTTCCATGTAAAGCAGGGATTTTTCATATGTACGGCATAAAATGTCCCACAAGCTTTAAAGCGTGCGCAGATACTGCACAAATCCATTACCATAGTGCACGTGGAATAAAGTACTAAGCAATGGTTGGTATTAAAAATTTTGAAAATGTCAGTGATAAATAAAAAGGACTATTTTTGAATTGCATTCGGAAAATAAAAATGGAATGGAAAAATCTTTTTGAAAAATTTCAACTTTTCCTTCCGTACCTTCGACCTAGAGATTAGAAATATTATGCGAATCGATTTTTCATATAATCCTATGCTATATAGTAATATTCGGAATTAACCCAAAGCCTGAAGATGGTTTCGTTATAGATCGAACAGATACGCCAACTTCGGACGGTCCTTATCCAGTAGGATATAACTTTATACGTATCGTTTCTGACTGGAGGATATATCGATACGAGTTATATACATGTATAAAAGAAATGAAACAATTGATTATGGGAAACTTATGAGTTTCTGTTCCAAGACCGATAAATACAATATCGACAACCCAGAGGTGTGGTTGTGGTAGAAGAGCAAAGAGACCAGAAAAAAAATTCATAGGCCTATGCACGATCGCGTGATATCTCATTTTTACGAGTTCCCTCCAGTCGCGCAGAGTTACGAATTGATGATGATTTAAGGTTATTATGATACATCGGCAAGGCTCGCCGCTTTACGCGGATACGTTTTCTCGCTCCTTCTTGCCCTATCCCGACTATCAATAACTCTTTTTCGCTAAGGATTTTCTACTTGGCTGACCATTGAGAAATTTACAGAAACGTACGGCGCCGTATATTCCATTCGGTCTGTTTACCATGAATAAATATACATATATCAGACCAAACACAATGACCGTACTGTATATCACGTCTGTTGGAAATCGGACAACTTCGAGTTGTCTCCTCGAGAACTGTTGAAAAAGCCTATTGTTGAATCATTTTTAAGAGATTTTTGAAAAAGTGCCGTGCTGGAGCTGACTCCCGCGTAGCACCTCAATTTTTGGAAAATTCGTATTTTAACGATATTACGTAGCAAAACTACTGTTAGAACCTATCAGGAACTATAGAACTCCTCGAGAACTATTGAAAAAGCTTATTGTTGAATCATTTTTGAGAGATTTTTTAAAAAAGTGCGGTACTGGTGCTGACTCCCGCGTAGCACCTCAATTTTTGGAAAATTCGTATTTTAACGATATTACGTAGCAAAACTACTGTTAGAACCTATCAGGAACTATAGAACTCCTCGAGAACTATTGAAAAAGCTTATTGTTGAATCATTTTTGAGAGATTTTTTAAAAAAGTGCGGTACTGGTGCTGACTCCCGCGTAGCACCTCAATTTTTGGAAAATTCGTATTTTAACGATATTACGTAGCAAAACTACTGTTAGAACCTATCAGGAACTATAGAACTCCTCGAGAACTATTGAAAAAGCTTATTGTTGAATCATTTTTGAGAGATTTTTTAAAAAAGTGCGGTACTGGTGCTGACTCCCGCGTAGCACCTCAATTTTTGGAAAATTCGTATTTTAACGATATTACGTAGCAAAACTACTGTTAGAACCTATCAGGAACTATAGAACTCCTCGAGAACTATTGAAAAAGCTTATTGTTGAATCATTTTTGAGAGATTTTTTAAAAAAGTGCGGTACTGGTGCTGACTCCCGCGTAGCACCTCAATTTTTGGAAAATTCGTATTTTAACGATATTACGTAGCAAAACTACTGTTAGAACCTATCAGGAACTATAGAACTCCTCGAGAACTATTGAAAAAGCTTATTGTTGAATCATTTTTGAGAGATTTTTTAAAAAAGTGCGGTACTGGTGCTGACTCCCGCGTAGCACCTCAATTTTTGGAAAATTCGTATTTTAACGATATTACGTAGCAAAACTACTGTTAGAACCTATCAGGAACTATAGAACTCCTCGAGAACTATTGAAAAAGCTTATTGTTGAATCATTTTTGAGAGATTTTTTAAAAAAGTGCGGTACTGGAGCTGACTCCCGGGTACCACCTTAATTTTTGTAATTTTAAGTAGAACTATGGTTAAAACCTATCAGGAACTATAGAACTCCTCGAAAGCTATTGAGAAAGCCTACTGTTGAATCATTTTTAAGAAATTTTGAAAAAGTGCTTTGAAAATTAGGTAAAATAAAAATTGGAACCTAGAAATAGTAGGGGATACTTTTTGACAAAAAAAAAAGGGAGATATATCCGAGCCTATACACGACATAAATATAATACGTAGAGACGGAATTCATCCTGCCTCAGGGTCAATATTCCATCAGTTGCTGCTATACAGAGGACGTGCTTGGAAATCGAGGAGAAAAGGTAGTTTTTTTTCCTTTTTTACCCTTTTCTCCTTTCACTGTACATACATACATGGCACTAGTTACATATGGGTAGATTAACCTACTTTTTCTTTTGTTGATTAAAAATTCGATTTTTATTAATCATTGGCATTACTAATTTATCGATCGATAATATCTACCTTCGCGATGAATACAAAATGGGAATAATGGGTAATTTCTACTTTGACCCAGAATTTCCTGGTAATGCCAACTGTATCGATATCCGGTAGCATGTCTATATGTATTCTTTACTCCGATATAATGAAAATTTACAAAAAAAAAAAAATTTGAATTATTTAGCATGATTTGGTTGATACGAAATAAATAGCCACGTGCTGCTGCTTCTTTTCGCTGCTTAGGCGTATGTGAAAAAACACATTTGCAGGGTACCTGATTACGTGGAGATTAATTTATACGACATAACGCCCAATCAGATAAAACTAAAATTAACTTTTTCGACGTAATAGAATATACACAGGCATTCTATTTTTTTTTAATTCGCAAACAAAAATGTGAATTTTATTATTCTGATGCAATTTCCATATGGGAGTCGTGAAGGGCGAGATGTCATTTTTCCACGCCTAACTCTTCGTCCACTATATACATTTTTTGATATTCCGAATTTATTTCTGCAAATCTTCAGGGCATAATATTTGCATGAAAATATGTGTAAGCAAAGTATTACAAATATAGGGGTCGATGGAGTGGCACACTCTACCCTCGAGAGGGATGAATTCTCACAGGACTCGGGGTAAGGACGGGGGGAATGAAATATCGAGATAAATGACTTACCCAAATAATGCGAAACTTTTATAGGCCATTATCATCCTCAGAGAAAGTTTTTGTTCCTTTTCGGTGTACTGCAGGGATCTGTTTAAGGGATGCCCGAACACGTACTCAATTTCATCACCGTGCATCACCCCCATCCATTCGCCCCATAGGTTGGTACTTGTTCTCTGTAACACAAATCATTGACGCAACTTTGGTAAATAATTCACAGTGAACAGATAGCAAAACTTTATGAAAATTTTTTTTTTTAATTAAAATATTAATAATAAAATTAATAACCAAGACAGTTAAAATTATTGCACGATCCGCACAGGTTTCAATATACCATTTGCCGTTACGTTCTTACGGTGAATATCTAGCATATTAATTATTACGAGAGTTCAGCCACCCTTTAACGTAGAATCAACCAGATTAGTTTATGCAGAAATAAATGCAAGTATAAATTCCCATTTGCAACCGTGATAAAACTCCTATGAAATTTTCATGGGTAAATACCAATGATAATTTTTCACCCTTTGCTTTCTCTGTGGAAATACTAGCGTCGTGAATTACATAATTTTGAACAAGAAAAATATCTTAAAAATTCTCAACGGTTTGCAGGATTTCAATTAATTATTCACAGATAAGAAAACGTGCAACCATGCGTTGATCGTCTTTTCGCTCTGTGTATAAAAATTTTCAAAATTATTCCTTTGGGATTTATTTGCTATGTGCTACATAGGGTTATTGGTTAGCTATTGCTCTACGCCAATGCGAAATACGTGCTTCGTTATTCTGACAAATAGAAAAATTGATTTTCACCATGAAAATAGTGCGTAAAGGGTCTGATACGTGACCAACCATACACAGCTGGTACCTATATATGTATAGCAGCTATGGGATTTTTGAACTACCATGATTAAGGTATAGTGAAGATATAGCGAACGAACAGTTGGGATAGGTGGGTTAGTAAGATAATGAAAATCTCATAAAGGACTTTGAGAAAGTTTCAAAATTCAGCTGTCGAAGTTCGACATGTCAGCTTGACAAAAAATACGTTCTGTAGAATTTGTCAAATAAAGCTGCAATTTCTATGGGGGGTCAATGACAATGGAGAAAACTGCGAAATTTAACGTGCGTGCAAAATACGGATTTTCTGTGGTGAATGTCAGAAATACGAGGGGTTGACCCAAAAAGAAAAAGAAAAAAAAAAAAAAGAAACAGTGGAGTCTGAAATAACGTAACCTGTTATGCAAATTTTACACAGCTCTTGCGAGCCGCTAATTTGGTTTGCGTGCATCGTGTGAACGTGGCTTTTGATTCTTTTTACAGCAGTTTAACCTATCAACGGTTTTTAACTCGTGGCCAACTATTCCTTATCATGCGTAATAATATCAAGTAACGCATGAATTATTTTAACAGTGAATAGTATATACTGTACCTGATTGATTTTTTTTTGTATTGTTCAAAATTTCACATCGCTCATATATTTTGTTTTCTATACGTAATTTCTAACGAATCAATGAAAAATCATCGACTGGCAAAATCGTATTGGCTATGAGAAATTTTGCTAGGGGATGTTTTTTTTTTTAGTGCGAACGGCGTTAAACGTAAAAAAACATGGTCTTAGGCGGTTCGCTCTATGTGAGATTAATGGGTATAACCTGGCGCAGACAGTTCTGATAGACGTACAATTAAAACATAATTGTTGCTGTCTCTAACACCTAGATTGGCAGCGTTATAAACGATTTTACGAGCCGATAAAGGTTAAGCAAGTTATAGGTACAAAACATAATTGAGGTATCGATTTAGTTGAAAGTTTTTTTACGACAAGTACCATATCATACGCTAGTCGAACTTGAAAAACAAGAGTACAGGCAATTGTGTAACTTTTCCTATGTAAAACGTTACTACACGTATATAGGTATAGCTGGGCTCACGTTATTCTTTGACAGTTCGTAAACAATGAAATCCTTAACAAATGACACGTGGCTGTCAAAAAATTGTCGTGTCAACGTGTAACACGTGGTAAATATAATCACTATGTATACGAACATATTGAACGTCACATAGGGAAGATTTCAGAGATCTGACCACATTTTTTTCCAACATTCATAATTCACAATGTTATGACATTTATGATGTTATCAGATGTGCCGTTTGACAAAGATATATATTACAGTCATTCAGCGCTGACAGTTTGATTTCATAACGTTTTCCTGATATCCTTAGGGGTATATACTACCTATCTAAAAAAAAGGGCGGTAAATTTGAAATTTTTCAAAAACTATCCCCCGAGGTTTTTTCTCACGTGACAAATGTCACAGTGAATTTTCTTGTATTTTTAGTATATGTTTACGGGAAAACAAATAATTGGTCCCTGAGAAGGGTGAAGCGGTGAGTCGGTAGATTTTCCAAAAATACCAAAATAATGCAATAATATCCCAAAAAGGGGTAAAAAACCGAATGCCGCGAAAGTTTCCAGAGCACCATTAAATTTTCGCGCAAACCTCCCGATTCGCACAACCGGTAAACACTGGTTCTCGGGGAGAAGCAATGACGTTCCACCGTTGAATAAGTCAACCGTTAAAGTGGCATTAATTGAAACTGAGTACTCGGGAAGCAGGAAATCCGGTATCATTCTGCATCGTGGCTCTTATAACGTGGATTTAGCGCCTCGCGTATTCTATCCTATACATGCCTATATATAATACGTGGATATACCTATATAGGCGGCACGTGAATTTTCTACGAGAAACATAGCGCGTGGAGCTACGTAATAGAAATACCGACCCCACTTTAACGGCAGAGTTTCCTTCCTGCCCGAAATAACCGGAAAATTTACGAGGAATCCTCATTCGGATGAAAGTTGCCCAATATTCAGACCGTTGGCTTTTGAATACAGTCGTTATGCTAAACTGTATCACATTTCCAAGATGGATAAAGAGACGTCTCGTACGGATCGTCTAACTTTACTCCCAACAGTCTCGAGTTGAATTCTCGTGGGCGACACGAGACTTGTGCAATTAATTGAAAATTATTGCAAATCGCGATTGATCGATTTGAGTAATTTTCGATTCGTAAAAAATTTTTTAACCACGTGTTGGTGTCAGGGACTGGTGCCACTGCCATTTTTTCAGACGTTCGACACGAGTCGATTCGCGACTGTTTTGTCGAAAATTCCAATAGATACGAAGTACACAGATAAATGCAATTTCTTTTTTTTCCTCCTGCCACCCGTCAGCTCAGCTTCCACGCTTACGTCATACGTTTCGCACGTTTCCCCCAAGGCCTTGCCGCATGCCGAATGCGATTAGCTCGAAAGGCAGGAGCCACGGCGCTTGTGCATTTTTCACTATGGAAATTCAATTTGGTCGCGTTGTAAAATTGGGGGCCGTTCTTCACGACGGAAAAACCTTTACTGTCGGAATTTCATGCCGTACGTAAATAACTACAATCTCGTAGCGCTTTGCCTTAATGTAATTTATGCCTCGCTCGTTCCTGCCTTCGATTAAAAATTATTATTTCAACTTTTCAAAAGTTCTCCGCCATTTCCCACGTCCGTTGACATGTTTAACGAACGAGACACTTCGCGTTACAATGTTCGCTTAACGCGATACGTCATACCACGTTCAGTTACCATTAACTCGACTTCCCACCTACGTAGGCGTGGATCCCCTTATCAGCCATTAACAAAAGCACTTTCAAGTTCAAAGTTACGACCTCATTCGTCCTCGATCAAGTCGACAGGTGTACCCGAGAAATATTTCGTTCATCCCTTACCTAATTTCTGACACTTTTAAAAATTAAAAAAAATTGACACCAATAAAAAAGGATAATATTTGAAAACGAAAAAATTTCAATTAACAATTATAAGAAATTCAAGTTAGAACATTTTTATTGGTTGTCTAAATAATAAGCATTGACACGTTAATCATTTTTTGAGTTTTACAGTCACGGCTATTTTGGTTACGAAGTAACCATTGCCACCGTTCTTATGGCAACGCTGTACCTCATCGGTCGTAATGCCTCCAGTTTCCGTAAGCTAGTTCAAAACTATTGAAACTTCACGTCCGAAGTACATCCGACGACCGTTTGGCGCTGTCGGTCGAACTAAAGAGACTTCCTATTATTATCACTTACTTTCCACACAGTACGTAATCTTGACGCTAAAGTTCGCGCGGATATGTTCTCGAACATACTGGAATGCAAATAGGTTACTAAATCTTGGCCGATCATCGCGAGAAACAGGTAGCGGCGGTAGTGTTAGCTATATAGGTTGGATGCACGGTTGATATAGTATTTTACACGCAAGTATATCTATATGTGCAGTATGGTTTCAGGAAACTTTGACTTATCTCGATCGAACTTCTGGTTGGGCGCGAACAACTTTAACAACTTGAGAAATGTATTACTTAGGCTTTTTCTTCGAGGTATCAAAGACTTAGAAAATTATCTCACAAAACTTATACTTTGCAATCATCTGCGGCAGAGTTAATAGATAATGAAGTATCGGCACACCGGAAAACTTTGTGTAAAATTTTTATTATATTTTTCTAGTCAATATCATTTTTATTAATTGTCAATTATATTATTACGTAAGACTGTCTCCATAGTGATTTACAATGTTTAGAGGTAATCAAAAATTTACAATACAGTTAGGGAAACTTTATGAAAATTAATGACATTAGTAACAGTCTCACATGTGCTGTACACGAAATGTATAATATCAACCGTCTCGTTATCATGAAATACTAATGAAACACGTGAAATTTTCGGCGTTGCTCCACATGTCGTTTTCTCTTCGGTAAATCACGAAAGTTCGTTAAGTACCCAAACTTACGTATATAAGTTTTTCGAGTATTGCATTTTTTTGGAAAAAAAGTTTTTAATATCAAAAAAAAAAGTCTTGCTATCCTATCGTAACTACGTGGTCCGTGCTTGAATTTAATTGATTTTTCCGTAAATTGAATATTTTCACACACCCCATCCCCTCACTTTTCTTTCATCCTGATAACAGCAGCCGTCCTACTGTCGTTGCTCAAATTTAGCTATTGAATAAAAAATATTACTTTTTTTCAAAATTAATTCAAAACCGGTATCAAAAAGGATTAAAACTATACTGTATACGAAGAGACGAATTTATTACGTCAAAATATTTTGACTGGGCACAATGTCCACAGGATGT